CTTCTTCTTCTTCTTCTTCTTCTTCTTCTTCTTCTTCTTCTTCTTCTTCTTCTCATCATTATTATTATTATCAAAAGACAAAACAAGTTAATGTCAGACCCATGAGCATTTGTTACACATGGGCTCGTGCAGGATCAAGAAAGAGAACAACAACAGCAGCAGCAGCAGTAACAACAACAAAAATAAAATAACAACGGATCTGGGCATACGGAAAGGGGAGAATAGGCAGAGAGATAGAAAAGAAAAACTGAGGAGATCAAGAGTTGACCACCAATGACTGTGGGAGGCTACAGCTTCGTCAGTTTGTTTGGTAAAAAGTTTTACGGCGCTTGCAACTCAACTGCCTCAGGTCATATTATATGAGCGCGTTAGTCAGACTGTGCGTGACTAATTAATAAAGAATTTTAGCCCATGAGCACTGTAGAAATCTGCGCACCGCACACAAGTAAGTCTTACAGTCCAAGGCATTTCAACTTACTAGATCTAAGTAATTATTTTGTTGCGTGTGAGGTTAAAAGTAGGTGTTTTTCCACCACAATCAGCGCAGTTTAGATCATTTTTGGAAGCAGACTTCCGACCCTGCCTGTCAGGACCAAACTGGGCTGAGAGGGATGTATGACATATACACATATGATACAGACAGAAAAACCCGAAACACTCAATAAAATTGTTGTTTTCCCCACTAGGCTAGGGAATATAACTCGCGTCTTCTGAGCGCGATGCGACAGCCTCAAGCGCCTTTCTAATCACTACACCACAGACGCGGTCCGGTCATTTTAAGTTTCAACGAACAAAAATTAAAGTTTCATCACAGCAAAACAATTAGATCAAGATCTAGATCTATATCTAGATCTAGAGTTTCGCCACGATGTGCACTTTTAAGTTATCAAAGGCGCCAGTCGCTGATCAAAGACACCGATAGAAAACAACACCACCACCCAGATGTTGCAACACCTGGTCCAGGAATCTCGCATCCTTGTTTATTTCTGCTCCTCTTTTCACGCTAAAAATATTTTTAAAATAATAGAATCCCCACAATAAAAACGCAGGTTACTGCATAGTTAGAAAGTTGAGTTATATTTAGATTCTAGCTTAAAT